ATCACCTTCATTTTTACATCATAAGTACAGTTTCAAATGCTCTTTAAAATGACTATTTACTTGTTGAAATTACTTGAGTGCTTGCAGAGATATATCGATTACAAAAGCTCTGTGAACTTTTTTTCCATACCTTATTTCAGATCTTTCGACAAACATAGAAAGAAACAGTGAGTTATTTAAAACTGGTTCATGCTCGTGCCCGTCTCATCCTCGTGCTATAAAGAAAGCTAATGGTCATCATACTGATTATTGGTCATGCTCACCAAACCTTAAGAAATAAAGAGTACTTAGTGTTATTACTTATTTTAAATCAGGTCTAGTTTGCACTGCCTGATGAAAGTAACTTTTCAATGTCAATATGTTGAAAAATTCAAGGCATTTCCTGAGTTCGACACTAAAAGATTGCCTTACCTCTTACTATTTAGCATCGATAAATCTGATTTTGGACGCACTTTAATTTGGTATAAAATTTGCTATGGATGCTATGTGAAATCATAACGTTACTTCCCTGAAAAAATGTTTTTACCAACCATATACAATTGGAAATAATAGAATAATTTATGGTTTCATATATTTAAAAGCTTTTGTTTTGATTGAATATACTTTTTCATAATGAAGAACAGTAATTTTCTTGTAATTCGTCACAAATATAACTTGATGACCATCATTTGTGCAAATCATGTAAAATTAAAATTTGTTCTCTAGTATTTTTATGACATTAATACTTACAATAGAAATCTGAGTGCTGAAACTCCAGAATATTGAACATATTCAGGTCAAATTAAACATCTTCCTGCAAAACTAATAAATTTAAAATATGACGTGTTTAAGTCGTGTCTATACCGAGATACTCAGATTTCAAGGTATTCACTATTAAGACTTATTTCATAAGGTTTCTACTGCGTAAATACATGAGCTCTTCAATCTCAATCGAAAATGATTCTGTCTTATAGAGCTAGATCATCTGGATCTACATTAATAAATGCAATATATGGCGTATTAGTTCAGTTGAAACTTTATGTAATTCATAAAAAATATCAAAATATTTGGAAATCTACTGAATTTTATGATCGTCACCGTTTTTAAATTTTCAAAATAGAGTTTGATGCAGTAAAGCATACTATAGAATGTCTACTAAATTACTAACCATGAAATTCATCTTAAGAGATTTTCAGGGATTGAGTTTGAGATGCTACTGTTTGGTACAGAATACTAGTAGTGTGTATTTAACGCAAACATTTTATTAGATCAACAAAAAATAAATAACTATATATGAGCAGATCAGACAGATCTTTGAGAACAAGAATATAGAGTTGGAATTAGCTTTTGTCGATAGTGTTGAAAAGTTCAATATCATAAAATTCAGTAAATTTCCATATATTTTGATATTTTGTATGAATTGTGTAAAGTTCAAACTGAACTAATACGTCATTTATTTCCTTAATCAAATGACATCGTAAGTTGCTTTTACTAATGTAGATGCAGATGATCAAGCTCCATAAGATAGAATCATTTTCGATTGACGTTGAAGAGCTCATGTATTTACGCAGTAGAAACCTTTTGGAATAAGTCCTAATTATGAATACTTTCAGATCCCAGTATCTCGGTGCAGGCATAACATAAGCAAGGTATATTTTGAATGAGCTAGTTTGGAACGAAGACGTTTAATTTGATCTGAATATGTTCAATATCCTTGAGTTGCAGCACACGTGGCTCCATTGTTAGTAAAAAGCAATAAAACTGGATAAAAGATCAAAAGATTAAATATGAAAAAGGAAAATTTCGAAAGAAAATTCACGAAAAATAATTGAAAATGAATCATGGACAAGGACCATACATTTAGATACAGTCATTCAGACATGAAGGAGTCTAATTAACGTTCAATGGAATTCTTTTCAATATCACTCTCTCGAATATTTCTTACTTCTGGTATCCTCCTTTCATATAAATCTTCGGAGTTTTATGCCTTCATGCGAAAAAATTCTTCTGTCTAGTTCCAGTTAATACATCTTGCCTATATCTAGAACTAGAGTTCTGAACATTTAGGATAATATTTATCTCGATGCAAGAGATTAAATATACAACTTTGAGCAATTTTGGATATGTAACAAGTAAGAAAAAGAAATTTTTCTATGAAGTATCAAAACTCTTTTCTCGCCATATAGTTGTTGCTTTTTACGAATGTAAAACGTTTTTGATATAAGAAGTTTCCATGGAAGATTATTTCCAGTGCAATGAAGTTGAAATTAACACTTCAAATATTGCTTTCACGTGTATGAGAATTTTTTAGAGAGATAGGCCGAACAAGATGATAAGTCATTCTCTGAAAACAGAGATTCAATAGTTCATATGGCTTGAATTTTGAGATAGAACTTTCAGAACTGGTTTATGAATCGATCTAAGGTCGAATAAGTCGTGAAGAAGCTTTGAAATTTTTTGGAATTAGTTCACAAATCAATATAAAACACTATAGGATGGCACATTCATTAGGGATGTACTCTGAGAAACATAGGGATTCGTATGACTATTATAGCCTTATTCAGATACAAAATTACCATTGCACGTTGGATATAGCTTCTCTGGTACTGATATTAACTGGATGCATATTTCGTTGAGATTATTAATTTAGAACTCTGAGATTTTAATTATACAGGAGCAGTACATTTGCGAATTAACTTGTTTCAGATTACATCGAAAGGAGAAGTCATGTGAAATTGATACCCTATGGATCTTTTAATATATTTTTGAGCGCAACGAAATACAAAACTTTTAGTTTTTAATTGTGATATTTTTTCATTCGATATTCTTCTAACCTCCAACAAGCTTTTCGTTAGCGTCAGATTGGCAATGTCCTGACGCTAAACAAAAGAATAAATGTCTCTTCTGATGTAACTAGCTTTTTCATAAATTGGAAAAGTTGCATACAGGATGATTGCTAAACTGGTTTTTACTGATCCATGTCATTAGTTGTCCCTAAAAAAATTCCAAGAGTACTTTAAGAAGCTATACAGAAAAAGACTACAGGAACTTACAGTTGACTCTCCAGATGGAATTCTCAAGACTTGAGAGATTTTTATAGAGATCGATTATGAGAATAATGACGATTCTAAACTTTCGTATGTGATGTCCTTTATTGTCATGTTCTCAACAGTTTTGCTTAAGTGAGAATTGGTTCAACTTTTTCTGTAAGCTTCCCAATGAATCCAAAAAATTAGAATTTCCTTTAAAACAAAACTTACATATGAAGTTCATGTTCGGATCAATCTATAATAGAAAGGAATTTAACTTATTTAATGAAATGAAACTTATTCATGAATTTGGTATTTTAATCAATTGTCAATATATGATTAATCTGAATAAAAAATAAATAAATTTTTTATAGTATAATATTTACGGCTTAAGTGACTCAATCCAGTTTATAGGTTCTACTAAAAACGATCAGTTCATGTGTCAGTTTTCTCTGAAAGCTGGTTCCTTTTATATAGATATTTGCTGAATACCCGTTTGAGACGTTAGTTACGCAATGCTTGAAATAGTTCTAACTTCATGAAAAAGTTTCGGAAGTCACAGAAAAATCATCTTTTCAGCAGTCTCAATAGTCGACACTACAATTCAACTAATTAATTAATAAATTGGGACAATTGTGCATTTTTAAAAGTTCTTACCTATTAAGGAATTTTCAACTGCAAAGATAATTGGCCAACATGTAATAACATATCTATAAAGAGACTTAATCTGAAATTGTGTTTAAATGACCATGATTCTTTAATTAACTTATGAAATACACGGAATCTATTAGCACTTAACGAAACCGTGCCAGGCTTTATAGGAAAAACTGAAAATTCTTAGAATATTCTACGAAACTATCATTCATTTCGTGTAAAGTATATGGAACAGCTAAACAACTAATGGAGCAGTGAATAGTTCTGACAATAAAAATAAGAAAGATTCTGTCTGCATATTATAAGTCCTTGCGAAACTCTGCGAAATCATCGATGGCTTAGCTCATGATTTACGAAGTCTTCCAAATTGTACGCAACTATGCAAGGTATAATGGACGGTGTACGAAACCAGTAGAATCCTTCGTATGAAAATGTCGAAACCCTACGAAAAGTAATAAACGATTTTCAGTCTAATGAACATAAAATCGTTCGGAGTAGAAATATGAAAATTTTAGAATTCGGTAGCAAACCTATCTTTTTCAAGTGTTCCCCGAAGACGTATTGCGAGTTATTGACTTTCTTTCAAAAATGGTCAAACAATTTATTTGCGTGACATCAAGTATATGCGCAGACCTAATTGTACGAAAATGCATTTTGATAGTGTTCTTTTTAATTTGCATAACTAGAGAAAACAATCGACAGTCATTACTTTAATTTGTTATAGGACGAAGATTGGTAGAGACTTATTTCCTCTGATCCACTTCATATAATTACAGTAGAATATTTGCGCATTGATTCATACTAAGACTGAGATTTCTGAAGGTTGATACCATAATTTTTTTTTCTACCTACATTTTAATGTTCAAGAATTGTTTGGGATGGTAAAAATCAATTCCTTTCATTAAATGAACTTCTTTCCAGTGAAATTAAAACGAGAGAGATAGATCTCATCATTTCTCAAGATGGTTTCTTTCTTTCTTTGCAGTTCTGCCTAGAATTCCTGGCATTGCTAGATGGACACAGTATGGTGTCACTGTCGCTGGCGGCAATGGACAAGGTAATACAGTCAAGCAACTCAACATACCTCGAGGTCTTTGTGTGGATGATGACCAAACTGTCTTTATTGCTGATTTGGACAACCACCGTATTGTGAAATGGAAGGCTAATGCAGAGAGTGGTGAGGTGGTAGCCGGTAGCGATGAACCAGGAAATCGAATTGATCAGTTGAATCGACCAGTAGACTTGGTTATTGACAAAGAGAAGGATAGTCTCATCATAGCTGATGCGGCAAACCACAGAGTAATGCGATGGAGTCGACAAAGCTCAATAAGTCCAGAAATGATCATTGAGAATATCGCTTGCTGGGGACTAACAATGGACGATCAAAAATTTCTCTACGTTACTGACATCGTAAAACATTTTGTGAAACGATATCAAGTAGGAGAGAAAAATGGAACTGTAGTGGCAGGTGGCCATGGACGTGGTGATCAGCTTGATCAACTTAACGATCCTTCCTACGTCTTTGTCGATGGATATCATTCTATCTACGTGTCGGACAGGAGGAACCATCGTGTGGTGAAATGGTTGAAAGATGCGAAAGAAGGGGTTGTTGTAGCTGGTGGTCAAGGTCAAGGAAGTGCTCGGAACCAATTGTCGTCTCCTCGAGGAGTGTTTGTCGATCTATGGGGCACAGTTTATGTGGCAGACGCGGGGAATAATCGAGTGATGCGTTGGCGCCGCGGAGCACTACAGGGAGATGTCATTGTTGGGGGAAATGGTGATGGGCAAGAAGCAGATCAATTAAATGATCCCAAATATTTAACATTCGATCGATATGGCAATCTCTATGTCTCCGATAGTAAGAATCATCGAGTTCAACGATTCTTACTCAGTACTATTTGATATACTTGATATTGAATTCTCTGGGTTTGAAACGAATAAATTAATATGATTTTCTTCCTTATGAGTCGAGAGCTACCACAATTTGTTGTCATGTCTCTTTATACAGTAACCACCAAAATTTTTCAACAAGTAGATAGAATCTGTTTGTATTATTTACATCTCACAAGGTGAAAAAGCTCCTATGTCAGCTATTTTATCTCATGGTCGGACTTAGAAAGGATTCATGGGTAAATGAACAGGTTTACGGAAATTTTGTACTGTATGAAAATAAGCGGAACATCGTTGAGTTTCTGTCACCTGGTGGAAAGATCGAAGACAACTGGACGATGCTAAGAAAACCTGATTGTTAATACTATCTTCAGTTTTTATAATAGAACAATAATTCAATATTACAAGCCCCAGATAGTGATTAAATAGTATTGAAACCTGGATTTCATCATTGGCTCAATTATCTAGCGACAAACCTCTGAAAGCTCCTGGATTTTCTTTACTTTCCAATATTTCTGCCTATGATTAACTTTAGCCATAGGAATTCGTACATATTCCAAATTAGCGCGAGATTTTCCATTGGGTGACAGATCGTTTAGTTGTTTTTAGCAAGGAATAGGTTTTCAAATTGACCAAATATGCGATTTAAACTATGAGTCATCTTTTTTCTCTTTCCTTTCGCCTTTTTATTTTGTCAGTTCATAATATATAAATAGGCAAAGAAGGAAGAGGAGAATCACATCAATATATAAAACAAGAAACATTTATATAAAAACCTCGACCAAATTTTCTTCTATATTCTTGTTATTATTTCGAATTATCATTTACATTTATTTCATCGAGATAAGTGTTTTTTTCTTTTTGTTTTGATTTTCACGTGGCTCATACTAATGCTGAAAGAGTGATAAAGTGCCGAGAAAAAAATTAAAAAAGATAAAGTAAAATATGAAGCAATGATGACAAAAACTTGTGTTTGTTAAATTCAATAAGAAAAAATATTAACAGAAACATGTTGAGCGGAATTTTAAATCAAAGATAAAACTTGTCAACAAAAACTTCGAGAAAATAAGAGAAAAAGTTTAATTAAGAAACATTTTCTAAGTTCATTCAAAAATCGTGAATCATTTGGTAAGTCATTGAGAAAAAGTAAATTCTTCACTTCAAAAATGTGAGTAAAAGAAAAGTTATTTTTGAACATTTTGCTGAAAAATTTGGCTTGCTTCCAAAACCTAAACAGCTGACAAAGTAACAAATTGATGTTCATGACTTCGACTTACGACACGATATTTCATATCAAGTATCACATAAAGACAATTCAGTTGCTGTTAAAGAGGATGATGGAAGCAAAGTACCTTATCAAAAAACTTCTTTTGTTCAATAATTAACGTGGATATTATGATTTGTATAAAGAGAAAAATAAATATGTGAATTCAGGTCGTTTGTCATTTACTGAATTGATATCTCCATTCCTTATTGCAAAAGCTGCTTTAGTACATACGAATTGCTTGTATTTGTATCATGAACATGCTTGTTTATCCTTGAAATCTCTGGATAAATGCGTGAGTAGAAAATTTTACTCATCTTTGTAAGCATTTACTGATAGTTTAGTTTGCAGTACTAATGACAAAGACTGCATACTGAGTTACCGTCCACTTTGGAAAGATTTCTTTTCAGAAAAAATTTAGAAAAACTTTTAGGATTGTAATGCTAAGATTACTTAGTCACAATGAACAAATGAAAATGGTAGCGCAGAAAAAAAGGAGTTTTCAGAAATTGTTCATGAAGCAATTTTCTTGTTGAAGTTCGAAGTTGACTAGTTTTTTTTGTTTCATGTATATATTAAGCGAGAACAGTCAATGTATTTTGAAAAATTAAAGAAGCAAGTTACTAATCAAAAGATGGTATTCGAGGTCAATTTTGCAAAGAATTACAATATGAAAGAATACGATGAAATCTAAAATACTCACTAGAACACAAATTCGCTGAGTATATTTACTGCTTCTGTCTGATCTTAAAATGAAAATTTTTCGCTTGCTGTACCATCGTTGACTGTAACAAATGATAAATTCGTTGTTGATTCTGCGTTGAAATTGTTTTAAATCATATCGAAATGGTTCTTCCAAATGTTAAAGTAACAAATTGTTTTGCGAATAATGCTGATTTTCAATTTCAACAATATTTTCATTTTCGATATTTAACATGAATTGCTAATGAGCATAAAATTAATTTTTGTTGGCACTTTTCCGAAACTTCTCTTGGAGAAGGTGTAGTTCATGCAATTGGGGATGTTGTAAAATGTCTTGTATGGTCAGCTATATTAATAGCAAGAGTGTGTCGATCCGATGAAGATTTTGTGAACCTTGCAAATGAAAAAATTAAACAATTATTTCCTTTCGAAATAACTAGAAATGACATTGATAGTTCGAAACTTAAATCTGAAAATCTTTTCCAGGCGGGAAAATTTGTTTTACAAATGCGAAAAATACATTCGCTTAAAGTAGTTGATGAAAATAAATCAGAGTCTATTTATAATTTTACGTGTTTTCAAAAACAAGTTATAATTTGTTGACAGTACAGATTTGCAGTTTTTAGTATTTTTTTAGTTTGAATTTGTTTTCCTCGTTATGTGTGTCCTTAGACAGCAGATGAAAGGACGGGGGCGCATAAGAACAGGCATCGGTCCACGAACCGATTATCATACGAAGTTTACTTTCCGATGCAAAATTTTGCAGCGAATCTTTTCATGCTAAATTCAATATATTCCCGAAAACCGTTTCACGCCTTTCGGTCCATGCTAATTATACCCTATTTTTATCCAGTGCAGAACAGTTATGTTTGTCAAAACGTAATTTGATAAAGCTTCAAATAGACTCACCGCAAAGAACGTCAAATTCTACACAAAACTGTATATGAACCAACTAAAAATAATCAACACCAATAAAAATTTCTAAGCACATACTATGTTTTCATTCACATTTTTGGGAGGTCAATGACATTCACACAGCTCACTCACTTAGGAATTGGTCCTACGATGGACTTTCATATTCAGGGTTAAGTGGAGTTTTCGATGGTCTTCACGATGGTGTGGTCTTTTTCTCAAAATTTCATTGGCCAAAACAATTCACAGGAATAATACTGCTGAAGAAAGTGATTTTTTCCAATGTATCGTTCCCTTTCAGTTTGAAAGTGCTTAAGAAATGTTTTTACAATGGACTTTCGTATTCAAGATGAGATGCAGTTTTCGACAGGCTTCGCGATGCTGTGATTTTTTTCTGGAAATTTCATGGGCTAAAACGCACCAACGAGAAACATCGCCTGAAAAGCTGTTATTTTTCAGACCCAGGAACATGTTTATTTCCAAAGTGCTGGAGCAAAAGCTTTACAATGAACTTTTAGCTTAAGTTTCCGATGCAGTTTTTCATGGGCTATCCCAAAGAAAATGGCGCATGAAATATCGTTCTTCGAAGATGCAAGTTCATTAAGCGATTTCAAAGTGTTTCGAAAATCGCTTAGATGGACTTTGCGCGGAACGTGTCAATACGGTACATGGTGCTTCATGCTGACGACAAAATGTTGCATACGATATTTTAACGTTACCGACAACACTTCTTCTATATTGATTGCATAGCGCTTAGAACTGAGTGTTGGATAAGATAGGATATACAGTTTTCAGGTCATGGTGATAACGGAGTGTGTTTGGCATTTGTCAGTTTCATCTGAAAAAGTGTCCAGTTGGGAAGAATGTTTCTGTGGAGAGAGTGGGTTTGTTTAGTAATCTGATTAACGTTTCATTACATGGTGGTAGAATTGTTTTACATCTGATACGCTGTCGGTTCGCTACATATTAAACCAGGATTGCTCTGCCCAGATCACCTATTTCATCCGATAGCGTTGGATTCGTTAGTGAGTCCTTGGAAAAATCTCATGCTTTAGCTATTTGTTATATTTTGGGCTAACTACATTGTTGTAATCAATGAATTCAACAGATGATGTGTATTCATTTTTGTCATTTTAAAATAGCCCGCTTAACGTACTCTATAAGTGCAAGAGAAATGAAATTGACTCTGTATTCAGTTAGGTTTGAGTTCGAATGGATAATTGTTTCTAATGAGTGGCATTATGGTAACTTTCTGATAGAGAAACGAATGTGACTTGTTGATATCCAGCTAATGCTAAAGCATAATTAGAAAATGGTGTCCGCTGAGAATGTTCATTGAAACATATAAGTTTCCTATTGTACTAATTAGGACTTATTAGTTGAAAACATCTCTGGTGCAGAGATCCAAACAGGTCGTTTGGTCTGCCTGCCTGTCAAAGGTTTCATGATTTTTCAATAAACAGATTATTTTGGAGTAGCAACAATACCTCAAAAAATGACAGTAGAGTAGCGTGAACGACGTAACATGAAAAATAAGCATTTATCGTTGTCTGTTATCAAGAAATGTGCCATTCTCATTGAAATATCATCTAAACGATAGCATAAAAGAATACACAGGACATGACAGAAAGGCACAGGCAGGCTGATCAAAATGACAGCCAGACACACCAGGCTGAGATAAGCGCATTACAGATACAGGCAGGCTGACGCAGTCTACACCTTGCCATGGACAGGCCAGGCCTATGAAAATCAGGCCTGTTTTTGCTTCTGCCCTGATGTATTATTGCTTTCTTTCTTTCATAGTTCAGACATCATCACATATATTATTTTATACGCACCTCCTTTCGTTTTCATGTGATGGGTAAGTGAATGAAACGTTTTTTCTCGCCTCTTCATCCATATTAATTTTGTCTGTTTTCCTTTTTCCACGGATTCTGTATGATACTCGCTAGTGTATAGTGAGTTCTTGAGCATCTAGAGCTCACCACCTGATCTCTGTCGACTGAGAATACTTGCATATATACATTCTTTTCGTGCACAGGGAATTAAATTCTGCATACATTATAGGATGAACTTCTATCAAACTTACGAGAACGTAGTGGTTGGCAACCGTTTGCGAACTAGTCCAACATTT